CATTTTGATTGTCACATTTACAGGGAATTTTGTTTCTTGATTAGAATAGTTTGGTGAGGATTGCATTTTTTCAATGTTGATATTGATAATGATGATAAACATAATGTAAAATATTTTCATAATCTTTGATATAGTTTTCTTGTTTTTATTATTATTATAATCATTATCATTATTACTGTTATTACTACTACTATTATTATCATTATTATTATTATTATTATTATTATTATTATTATTATTATTATTATTTATTATTATTATTAATATTTATTATTATTATTATTATTGTTATTATTATTATTATTATTAACATTATTAATATTATTATTGCTATCAGTTGTTATTATTGATGAATTCTTCTTTTTAGAAGGCATATGTGATACTGATCTGTTATGTTCAGTGAGACATGTTCTTTTTCTTATTTCAATTTGATTGTGATCAGAATGCCATGATTATAATTTTCTAATGCATTTTATATTTTGGTGAATGAAGTTTAATCAGGTTTTTGTTGCCGAGGTATAGACTTGGTACAGTAGCATTTTTGGCAAATTGAAGGAAGTCTCTCTTCTGCCTCTCCCTTTCTCTTTGTACATCTGTTCTTGTCTCTTCTTAATATATACATATACATGTATATATGTAAATTGGTCTGTAAACACACACAAATACACACACACACATAAATATATACACACAAACAAATGAATGCAGACTAGATATTTCCTTTTTCTTAAATTATTTCTGTTTCCCATATATACCATCAAAGTGTATTTTTAAATCTAAAAATTGGCTTGATAAAGCAAAACAAACATGCCTGTTGTGTTATAGAATATTTAACATATAGTGATAACAATTTTAGTAAGTGATGATATTATTGATGAGTGACATAAACAAAATCCAAAATCTGTTTCAAAATCAGATAAGCATGAGAGTGTGTATGTATGTGTACAGACATCTTTTTATATGCAAAGATTTATATTATTTCTGTTTTTGTTTTGATGGATGGGTGGTAAAAACTGAATGTCAGGTAATATTCCTGTGTGAGATGTACATATTTAATTTCATTGGCAGTTAGGATACAGAGCAGTTCCTTCCGTTTTGTATTTTTTGTAGTATTTTTTTTTTTTTTTCTTTTATATGAAGGTTTTGTTTATGTTGGTCATGTGCCAGACAAAGATGTTGCAACAAGGTACATAATTAAGAGAAAAAATAAACTAACATATTTAGTATTTAAAAACCATGCAAAGGATTCTTACGATATCTAGCAAGAAAGAATTGAAGAGATGCAATATTTGATAATGAAGGTCCTCTTAATTCTAATTAAAACCACTTTCATTTATTAATTAGACAATTTTGCAGTTTGTACATTTGTAAAAAGCTATGCATAAATGCATACTCTTCTCACACCGAAAACTGAAAAATATAAAAAAGAAAAAAAAGGAAAGGAAAGTAATTAACACCCCTGTACCTTGGACTCATAAGGTAGTAAGCATTTTAGGAGAAAATTGTAACTAGAAAGATTAATTTGAAAATGGTTTGTAAGCATTCCACATGGCACTGATCCTTGTAAGTGTAGAGGAAAAGTGGATAATTGATGTTAACCTCAGGTTCTGCTGTTGGCTACCGCATCATGTTGTATTTATTTATTATTTCGTTTTTCTTTTTTTCTTTTTTTCTATCTTCATCTGTGCAAATATGGCCTAAAGATTTGATTTACTCACAGTTCGTGTATTGTATATCAAGAGTGACCTTATAAACAGAAAAGTTTGGTATTAAACAGTAAGGGTTAATCACAGCATTTTGGCAACAAACGAGTTAGTCCTAATGTAAATACTTGGGGGGGGAAAAAAAAAAACAGTATTAGTATATTACACTTACATAACATTCTTTGTCTTACAAAGGAAGATGTTTTAAAAAATTAGCAGGACTTTCTCATTAATGTTGTGAATCACTTGTAGCTCACATATATTTCATATATGCACATTTACTGTTGTAAATAGAGTACTAGATTTCTATTTCCAATATACAAGTTAACTAATTTGGATCATAGCAAGTAATAAGAATAGACAAGTGTATTTTCTACAATATTGGAAATCTTTTAACCACTTTAGGAATCCCCTGCTGAAATTTTACACACTAAAAGGTAGACAAATTTACTTTTGGTGCCAGTTATAAAATATGGTGGTTGGTTCATAATAGGATAGAGGGCTGTTTATGTTGAACAGTTTATAATAAAATCAAGTTCAAGTTCACTTTTTTTCTGTTGAAAGTATTTCCACCTTAATATGAAAAATTTTGCTTATAGAGGGGCTGAATACAGTGTTTAATGTGTTATATATATTCATGAATAATGCAGTCTCTAATTCTAGTCAATGAACTATAAGCAGAAAGGACAACAGGATGTATTTTGAGGGATCACTCGGGCTGCGTAGCTGAAGGACCCTCCCCTCCCCTCCCCTCCCCTACCATGTCCTGTGTGCTGTAACATTGCTCTAGTGATATATACTCCAGCAACCCCACCTTCAGTTGGGAGTTCCTCTATTGACATTTTAAGTCTGGCTATTTATTTTTATTCTGTAATAACTTGTATGGTGATAAGTTTATTGTAAAGGGATATATACTATCAGAATAGTTACAAACATTGGGGAATTTGAATAACTGTATATTCAGTTATAAAGACTCACTGTTGTTTTGATATGTACAATAAATAGGCAATGTAGTTGCAGACATTTAGGGACAGTTGCTGAGTTTCCTATTTATTTAGTGAAAGTCATGTAGCTGTGTTTTATGTACGAAACTTCACTTCAGATCCAAACCTGGAAGTGCAATCATGATGGAAATATGCATGTACATAGCATTTCATATTTATTCACTGTTGCTCTTTAGACTCAGTGTGAAATTTATTTGTATTATGATTGGTTATTTTACTTACTCATGCCATTGCTAGTTTAAATTGTATCATGTTGCAAGCATTTGTAATAAACTGTAAAACATTCAAAGTTTGCTGTATCCCCTTTTATTGTGTTAAAATTCAGGAATCCACATGAATGGAAACTTGAGTACTATTGTGGCTACAAAAATCTTTTTATATTGCATATGTATGAAGGAAGTGGCATACATGACTACGTGAATATGTAACTAAAGTTTTTTTTCTTTGTGTTTGAGTTGTTGAGGTAAATGGTTTGAATTACTCTACCTTCTTTACCCAATCCGCACAGATGGCAAGAATACATGACATGGCCACTGTAATATAAGTTTATTTATTGCATTTACACATAAATGGCTCTACAAGTGCTTAATCACCAAGGAGTCAGTTACTAGTCCTACCTATCTCACCGGTTTACCCTTTTCCTTGATTTTTGTATTATTTCATTGTCTTAAGTGTTATCAAATTATAAATAACTATTTAATAATCATAACATCAGTAACAATACTAACAGTATCAATATCAATTGTATTAAAAAGAAAAACACATTTTCCCCTAATTCAAGGAATGGGGAAATTAGGATTTGTCACTAGGGCCTACTGATAAATTCCTAGATGGCTTAGCACATGTGGATTCATCTGTATTCAAACAAAATTCTCAAAAACTACAGGAGGTAGAACATAAATCCGTGGTGGTTGGGTTAATAGGATTGTACCGTGGAGGTGAAAGATTAGGTCATGAGAATGAGAACTGATTACAAGCCCCTGTATCTAAAGCATTACTTATGCAAATATTAAGTCCAGAATAATATAGGAAATTATGTGAGGGGCATAAGCCACTTTTGGTTATCCACCTTGATGCCTTTTGGCAGAGAAAAAAGCCAACAAAATTCTTAAAACCATTTTGTCTTGTAGATCTTCATTTCTGAAGATACCAATACTGTTCCTCTGGCAAATTCCTTTGTATTATTTTTGACTCCAAATTGTCCTGGCTCACCGCCGCCTCTGAATATAGCTTTCCCATATATCCAGGAGCTCAGATCGCAAAACTATCCTCCATCACTTTACTTTGATCCTCTCCACTCTCAATTCTGGATGCCACATCTATTAATCTGCCTCAACCTGCCTTCTTGCTCATCTTGGCACAATCCACCACTGCAGTCTTCGCTTAACCCTAGGCACCTTTTGCTCCTCTCCAGTTGAGAGCCTGTACACTGAGTCAGACATGCCATCTTTCTCTCAATGTCGTATCCATCTCTCTCTCTCTCTAATGTTATTCTCAATTCCACCAACTTTCCTTCATCAAACTATCCCACGATCCCTGCTTCCTACCTTTGCTTCACCACGTTTACCTACTCCTTTCTCAATACACATGGATACCCTTCTCTCCCATTCCCTTTTTCCCATCTCCGACCTCTTCCATTTTCTGTCCATTATGTTCCTCGATGGCTTATACCTTACCCCCTTATTTGCTCTTTTGTTTTCCCTGATCCACTATAATCAGATATCCCCCTTCTGTCCTTCTCACTTATTTCCTTGACCATATCTCCATTCATTCCTCCAGTAATCATGTTTGCACTGATGGCTCCAAATCCACCTCCGGTGCTGGTTTTCCAGTAAACTTCGCAACTTTTAAATACCCCCTCCTTTCTTAATCCAGTGTCCTTACTACAGAACTGTACTCTTTTTTGCCTTAAGACACATATTCTCACTCCCTTCTTCCTCTTTCACTGTTTTTATTGACTCCCGTAACTCCTTAACTCTATGCACTCGACTAATCCCCTTGTCTGTATGATCCAGAACTGGTTACTCTACCTGTCCACACGCCATCAATCTGTCAGATTTTGCTGGGTGCCCGGTAGATACTCTAACACACTATGCCGAAATGCCCACATCACAATAACCACGTTTCTCACGTATTCCAGTCACGGATTATTACCCCCACTTAAAGACCTTCATATATACCCGATGGCAATCTTTCTGGTCAAGTCTCCGCACTAATAAATTACATACTGTGAAACTATTAATCTCCTCCCGGTCAGCTGCAAGAACCGTCTCCCAACAGACATTGGGAGACG